ATTAATTCTTTGAGTTACTTCCGCCCACAGATTTTCAATTGGATTCATATCTGGAGAGTTTGCAGGCCAGGGCAGTTGCTGAACCCATTGGTTTTGAAGAAAAACAGTGATTCTGCGGCCTCGATGTGGGGTTGCGCAGTAGTCTTGGTACACAAAGATGAAGATGACTCCTACCAATCGAAGCATTGTTTGCTGTAGAATGTCTCTGTAGGAATCCTGGATGAGGTTGCCTCCTAGAAAAACCAACTGGTTCTGGGCACCGACAAGAAATGCTCCCCAAACAGAGGCGTTACCATCCCATGCTTGCACCCTAGGCAGTACACAATCATCGTTTTATGACCCTCGTACACGTCGGTGGACACGGATTCGACCATCAACCCTAAAAAATCCATATCTGCCTCATCACTGAAAACGACGTGATTCCAGTGTTTTGGCTGCAAACGCACGTGGTCCCCAGCCTATTGCAGACGTCGCTGTATATGACCTGCTGTTAACAGTGGTTTCCCTACTGGCCTTCGTGCAAATAACCGGCTTGCAGTAATCTCTTGTTCACGAGGGACCTTGAAACGGGCGTTTGAATGACATTCTGCCTCTCTTTTCTGAGGACACTGGTTGTCTTTGTACGACCAGCACGGCGTCCTCTAAGGAGAAGGCGATCCTGTCTTCTTGGTGTGATACGCGGACACCCTGGTCGAGGTATTGGAGTAGGTGCCCCTGTTGCAGCATTTCTTTGGAGGACTTCACAAACGGTTCCTGATAAATGTTGAATTATCTGGCAATGGCTGTCCGTTTCTGGCCATTTTCTCTGAGAGCAAGAATCCCATAGTAAGCTGCGTTGCTTAGCTGTCGAACCATATCTTCACTAAGGTACCTGTCAAGTTTCAGAGCGATCCCTTTGTTGCTTCTCTAAACACACTCCAAAGATTGACCAAACCAATGCGTTTTTATAAAAGGGCAGAAATTGCCGAAAAGACCACCCCTCACATTTCTGACCACAGAACATGCAACTGCATGCATCAATTGTTTCGAGAGTTGTGTGGTAATTAGGTAACACACCTGGCCCCCGTTTCACAAAGAATCTTAAATCCGTAGTCGACTAGCTCGAGCTAGGTGACCTAGCTAGGTCGACTACGCTGAAGTCGACTAGGAGTGTTTCACAAAGAATCTAACGTCTTAGCTTGGCGTGCTTACCGTAGTCGACGCGCACGAGAACCTCTTCAAGAAAAGGAGGTGTAAAGTTTCAAAAGTTTCACAAGACATGACGTTTCATGGCTTCTTTCGGCCGAGAACGATCGTTTATCAACGATAAAAATCAGCCAAAACACAAACAAAGTTTGTTTTTGAACTTTATTGATTAGTTTAACTTCGATACAACTTCAAAGTAACAGTTAAACATTAGCTTGTCGTGGAACACTGCTGACGGACGTCTAGCGGTCAAAAACATAAACAAACACGCGATCGGCTGGGTGAAGTGGCATTTTATTTTTTATTTCAATATTCCATAAATGTCAGTGCTATTCAAGGATATTATAACACAATATCTTCAAGAAGGTATGTTCTTTCCAAAATTTTTGTTGTTTATGCTCTCATTTACCGAGTTTTAGTTGAGCTTGCCGACTTAAGTCTCCTCCCAAGGAGGCTAGACATCGTCGACTAGCAGCTAAGAAAAAAACGACGTAAGCGACCTTTTAGATTCTTTGTGAAACGGGACTTAGTGACGTAACGACCTAATTATGTTGGTAACCAAGCTCTTAGTCAGGGAAACCGACTTAAGTTTTTTAGTAAAACGGGGGCCAGGCTACACATGGAGTGACACCTCAGCTTTGGATTTAAAGTAGTTTGAGAGAAATTAAATATTTTGTCGTAAATTTACTCGCCAAAAAATAATATTCCATATTAAGTGGTAACCCAGTAGGCTACTTATTATAACCTAGACTAAACAGATTTTTTAATTAATCTGAGTGAAATAATGTCAAAAAAGTTAGTATGTCGTTCTAATGGTGCAATTCTCTCCACCGCTTATCCCATACATCTTTAAAATCAATGCCTCTAAGTATTGGTTTCAGAAACAAGAAATTAATGAAATGTGAAGTAATTGCACAATGATGCTGAATACCTGCCGCGACATCTGAGGTGTTTGACATGACCATAGATGGCGCTGCTTCCGTGGTGGTGTTCCTTGGCATCAAGACGACATCGATCACGGGCCGCTTATGACAATTGACGTTAAAATGATAATCACATCTGTCTGATGCCTGGTCGTAGTAGAGACCAGCGGGACACGGTCTGTGGCGGACAACGCGGTATAAATAGCAGGAGAGGAACTTGTGGCAGTCTGCTGGCTCTTCAAAGTTCCCGCTGGGTTTCTTACACAATGGGGTGGCTGCAAAACAAATCCTTCTGCCTTAGTTAAGTCATCGTTTTTACATATGTGTGAAAGAGAAAGAGAGTGAGAGAGAGAGAGATGGAAGAAGAGAGAGAGAATTAGAGACGTCGTGCTATAATTTCTTTTGTTATTTCATTTCACTGTGTTTGTGTGTGTGAGAGAGAGAGGGAGAGAGAGAGAGAGAGAGATGGAAGAAGAGAGAGAGAATAAGAGACGTCGTGTTATAATTTCTTTGTTATTTTATTTCACTGTGTGTGTGTGTGTGTGTGT